TAATTTTTTGATGAGCTTCAATATTCTTTAATTTTTTTATTATGAGCCTAAGATTATTCCTAAATTAATTTTAAGCGAAATAATGTATAACTGGATTGCATTATAGTTTTAAGGACTTCAAGACCAGATACGTCTTTTCAAGACATAAATACGTCTATTTCAAGACAGCGTGAAACACAGACTTGTTTTGCTTTCCAAAAGACTCAAAAAAACAAAAAATTTAATTTTTGGTGAAGTTTGAGCCTTGTGCTCTTCTTAGATTATTCTTAAATTTCAGAGATTTTTAGCCTCAATGTTCTTATAGACTTTATTCTTATAACAAAAAGTGTATACACCATATCTGTACTGAGACCTGTTCCTGCTCTTTTGACGCATTACTATAATGACAAACATGATCCAAGTTGTATCACTGCGTAAGACTGTTTGGTGGTGCCAAGTGCAATAAGGCTGCGTTTGACATTACGCTGATGTAAAGTGGCCCACTAAGACTAAAAACAGTTTTAATCATTGCACAAAACCGTCTCAATGCTGCTACCCTGGGTACCAAAGCCACAAAATTTTAGCGCTTAACTAGAGACCCATTTTAAGGAACGTCCTCCGCTTATACACTCGTATCTTCTAATTTCCGCGCTCGAATTTATGTTGCTCTGGTACCAGTGTACATTACTGCACAAAGTGGTAATTACTACACCTTAATATTACCATTTTTTTATGATAGTTGGAAGGTAATTTTTTTGAGCAACTTCTACCTAGTAGTATTTGTTTAATTTTATTATGTAAATCTTTAAATTGGCCCCTCCCTCTTTTGGTAGTTTGTTAATTATAGTAAGAGCAAATTGAAGAGAAGGGCTTAAACAAGGGTGGGAAAAAAAGAATCATCTGAAAATTGAAATAAATTAGCCCATTATCAAAGGCTCTTTTAGTTTTTCAATTCACTATGAGAATTGAACATTTCTAAAAAATCGATGTTTACATCAATGTCAAAAGCATTTTGGAATTTCTTTTTATTTATTTACCTTCATTTCTCCAAATATGTTCAATTTATCATGGATAAGAATCCGCATAATACGATTAGGGGCTTATTCAATGGCAGGGGCCATCGCGACCACGCCTTTAAGCTTAGCTTGCATTTATTTATTTATTTTAAACCTTTTACATTTTCAGGCGTAATTTTGTTTCTTTTAACAAATCCTGATAAAATTGAAATTTATCACTTAATAAGACACCAGTCTTTAGTTTAGCTTAGGATACATTTCAGAATTTTTCTTACAGTAATTTTCTTGCAATTGTTTAAAAAATTTACCTTTGCATTTGTTATGTTTGTTGATTCCTTTCTTAAAAAAGAATTACATTATGAAACATTACAAACAGGGACGCCGGAGAATGGGGCGTGAGGGTCAACCACCCCTGTTGCCTTTTGATAGGAGGGGCAAGAGGGGCCAGCGTGCCCATTTGATTAAAGTACCCTTGAAACCGCCCCATTGTAAAAATCAGAGAGATTCCGTTGAAATTCTGATTGCAGTGCTCAATTCATGACGACATTTCTCAAAACTTGTAAAATAAATCCTTATGCCAAAGTTAGCCAAATTTCAAGATACGAACAGAAGATCGAAATAAAATGTCAGTTAGTAGTTAGTAGGAGGAATGAGTAGAAGCTGAAAATTATTTTCAAAGGCCCTTTACTCAAGCTTGTCCCCTTGCTCTTAAGTCGTTCCACTTCCAGTGTCCATGATAACAGACCTTGAGAACCTGGGACAAAACTGCTCCTGCTCCCCCTTGCAGCCATTTTAGAAGTCGGAATCAAATTTGAGGACCTTAGAGATGCCTTTTATAAATTTCTTGAAATAAAATTATAATTTAGAAAAAGTGTATATCAGCATTTTTCTCCGTGAGGTCTTATACTTAATTACTCTCCCTAAGAAATCAAATCAAATCATAGTATTTACAACGCACAAAGAGATGTTATTTTCCAAAATATTGATTTCCAAAATTATTTTATCTCGTTAGCTTATTTTACTAATTTGTGGCCGAATGTATGTGCTATCAATCTTGGATTAAAATGTTGTATCTTTCTTTTCTTTCTCGATTAAAAACTTTTGGGGGATTGAAAAAAAATTTAATCCAGGGCGAGAGCTTTTTTGAAGAGAACCTCTGTTGTAAGATTTTATGACATTATGCAAGGTACAGGCGCCAAAATAGCTTTCGCATGGGCTGCATGCAGAGCGGCCTCTGTTATGCAAATTAGATGATCCAGACGCAAAAAAAGATTTGGAGTGGGCCCACGCAGATTTGGTTGCCACGCAGATTTTAGTATCACACCGGTAATAAATATGTTGTAGTGTTATAGTCAATGCATGACATTTTGTGCAATAAACGGCTTCTCTTTCCAGGGCCGCCGGACGCAATTTTGAACGGGGGGGGGGGGCTGGGCAAAAACGAATAAAAAGGGCACAAATATTTTTTTCCGAAACATTAGTAAGTGTCGAAAATAGTACAGATTTCACAGTAATTTAGACAATTATAAAAATTATGACACACGTTGGACATAATAATGATATTAATTTTTTTGCTTTCATATTTAAACAATTTGGTCCCCCTTGGTATTCGCACCATCCCCACTTAAACACAAATTCGTTCTCCTCCATGGAATTTTTTAAAAGCTAAAAAATTTTATGGTTAAGTCATCTTCACGCAATCGGCTGAAGGTGCGGGCACTTTCTTCACTGTCATAGCAAATTTAATTTGCAACATTGGTTAGGTTTATCTCATCAGTCTTATGAATGAAACAAGTTTTTAACTCGCCTGAAACTTGATCCCGGTGGGCTCAATCTGTTGGTAAATGTATTGCATGTGAGTTCCGAAAAACTCAAAAAAAATACTAGAATCCTGAGACATAGAATCTTGAAAATTGGGTTGCATTCTTAATCAGTCAGAGGAAACACAAAAAGGGCAGGAATTTACTGATATGATGTTTCAGATAACTTTTTAGATAAATCAATGGCATATTTTAAAGTACAACAAATTTTGCGGTAAGTCTAGTCTTGTATATTGTTCTAATCTTAGATAAGAAATTTATGTCTTTGTTAGCATGTACTCATTGCAGGGACACAACTTTTCATTTCTTCATAAAAAACATTGAACACAATGTTGTGAAGCAAGCAATATGTTGCAGTTATAGTTTTACAGATGTCTGATTTTGTTGATATATATGTCAAGAACCACAAGAGATTGTTGTTGAAATCAAATTTAGTGAACTCTGCTTTTTAACTTGCCTAGTCATAAGTTTAAGAAAAAAAGTGGTTTTAACATGAATTGGTATCAAAAATTCCTGCTCAGGCTTGAATATTCTGAGTGAAAAGAGTTACACAATTTTGGCAAAGTCACAGAATAGGGTACATTTTACGCATCCCAGAATCAGAGATAAGGCTCCAGTTTCTACTTTCAAGAACACACACGATATACATTTGACCAACTGACTGTGCCCGCCGGGGACTTGACCGGACCTTTCACTAATGCGTTTGCTGAAGACATACTAAGGAAATTTTCTCGCGGAACTGGCAGTCTCCTTCGCAGATGATATTGTTCATCACAGGAGCTTGCGCTTTTTGCATCCAAGACCATGTAAACATTTAAGGAATTTTCAATGAATGGTCCTCCAACAACGTCCAGAGTTATGTTATTTTACTAAGTTTCTAAAGGCAGAATATCTGGCATTGAAAAAATACACGCAATATATTTTTCAAAAAGGGGCACTTGTTTATACTTTTTGCAAACAGTGGTGGCCTGTGCCCCCGTGGCCCCCCCTGGCTCCGGCGGCCCTGCTTTCTGGTCATGGGTATGAACCTTTATCCTGTATAAATATTATAAAATGAAAAAATGAAAAAATGGGCAGCATGCAGTAAATTCTAGCGCCAACATGCCAATTGGCTATTTTTCCAAGTAAATACATCGCTAAAAATTATGAAATTCAAAAAATCTGAAAAACTGAAGCCCCTTCACATTATTCTTTTTGCCTGTCTAACATGCGATGCTCCAGTGCATCTTCAGTGCAGCTCGAGAGAAGCTTCTGAGAGAAAGGAGAATCTATCGGACTGGCGCCTGCGGTCGGCCTGAGCGCAAGCATTCCCAAATGTTTGATAATCCACAACATTTTTCTACCTTTAAGCTGCTTTTTGCGAATATTCTTTGTGTGATAAAACCTAAACCCCTATTCCCCCCATTTAATGAGCTTTAGCAAAATTTAATGATGATTAGATGAAATTTTATCAGAATTAATTTCACGAGGGGCTTTTTAGCTTTATCTAGTTCGCTTGATATTGTTGTTGTTACTTATTCGTTATGGTCTCTTCCTCGTGTTTTTCATGGATGTGCTTCACTAGTATACCTTGGCAATCTACTATTGATTATAGAAATTGTATGACTTGAAATTCGGTGTAACAGAATGATTTGCTTGATCTCAAGGTTGGATATAAGACATAACTACTATGGAAAATTTTTACCAATCAACCTCACAAAGCTATTAGACTTTTATTTTTTAGAAGTTTAGTTCTTCTGTTGAAAACCATGATCATGATGCATTACTGTTAAACAGATAAAAATCAGTGGAGTAGCAGAACAAAGTTACTTTTAGTCAAATAACAAACGGGCCCCAAACCTTTAGGGGCCCCCAGCAACAATTTTTCTTTGTTATTTTTTCTAGGGGACACAGCTGCTCCTTACACCACAAATAAAACTATTTGGCATAATGATAACAGCCTTGATAGAGCTGTACCAAGGACATACTTATCTACGGGGAGCTAAAAACCGGTGCCTTGTAGCTAGCTAATTTCGAGCCACGACGCCATTGCTTTACATTCTACTAGTTCCCAAAGTAATAGCTAGCGTTGGCTCCTATAACTGAAAGTTTGGCCCCCGGTTAGCTCCCCCCAGATTTTTAAGGCTAGACTCGCCACTGAATGGCCCAACTCGCTCTCGATGATGTGGGAACGTGTAGCCTCATGCCTGACCTTCTAATGACTATGGCAGTTTTTCTGAGGGAGCTTTATGCCCTTTATATTGCATTGGTATTTCATTCCCGAGTAAGTAAATCAATAACGTGGAAGCCCAGAAATACATTATTGCATACGCAATTTTGTTCAAGTTCGCATTTTGATTAAAAAACTGGATACACAGAATTAAGTACAGTTGACATCCGCTATCTCGACTGCCTGCTATCTCGAGCATTTGCTATTTCGAACTAATTTCTGTTTCCCTTGGTTTTGCTATAGGGTTAAGTATAGAAAAACCGTTCGCTATCTCGACTGCTCGCTATTTCGAATATTCGTTATGTCGAACCGTTATCTGTTTCCCCTCGACGAAAAGTGTTCGCTATCTCGAACTTTTTTGCTTTTGGTTATGTGAGAAAATTAAAAATACGAGTAAATAATCTGTTTAAACGGCAGATGACAGTTAACAGATTAAGAAGACAGTGTTATAATACAATTTAAATGTTCAAATCAATGGATAGAGGGGTAATCCGAAGTTTAAAGGCAAAGTACCGAGCAGTTTTGGTGCAGAAATACATCAGAGCAATTGATCAACAAAAGTCTCTACAAAAAATTAGCATTTTGGATGCAATGGACATATTAGCCGCATCGTGGTCTATAGTATCTGAAACGACAATCGTTAACTGCTTTGCCAAAGCTGGCCTTTCTTCCGAAAATCAACATCAAGCAGCATCAGAGGAAGATGATCCTTTTAAAGACTTGGTGGAAGAATTGATGAAACTGCGAAATAGAGATCAAAAATTTGCTCCAGCCAACACAAGTGCAGAGGAATTTATTGACTGCGACGACCAAGTCTTAGCAAGAGCAGTATTGCCAACTGAAGATGAAATCATAGCTGAGCTATTTGGTGAAGAAGTTGTTAAAGTTAAGGGTAGCCAAGAAGACAGCCAAGAAGACAGCCAAGAAGACAGCCAAGAAGACAGCCAAGAAGACAGCCAAGAAGACAGCCAAGAAGACAGCAAAGAAGACAGCCAAGAAGACAGCCAAGAAGACAGCCAAGAAGACAGCCAAGAAGACAGCCAAGAAGACAGCCAAGAAGACAGCCAAGAAGACAGCCAAGAAGACAGCCAAGAAGACAGCCAAGAAGACAGCCAAGAAGACAGCCAAGAAGACAGCCAAGAAGACAGCCAAGAAGGCAGCCAAGAAGGCAGCCAAGAAGACAGCCAAGAAGACAGCCAAGAAGACAGCCAAGAAGACAGCCAAGAGGACAGCCAATAAAGCAACGACAACCCTTTGACAAAGCCAACAACGGACAAAATAAGAGACGAGATGGAGGTAATATTAAGATATTGCCTATTCTCAGGGAATTGAGAAGTGCTCCTTGAGCATTTCGTTAAAATGAATGGTGTTATAGAGAAGAAACTGGTTAGAAAGAGAAAACAAATGACATTAGATGCTTATTTTTCTTAATGATTTAGTTTGACTTGTAATTTTGTATTAATGACTACATATCTTTTTTTGCTGCCTGTTAAACCTTCGAAATTTAAAAAAAAATTGGATTTTTTGGGGTGATCCGATAACTCGAACATTCGCTATCTCGAACAACTTTTCGTTTCCCTTCAGAGGTCGAGATAGCGGATTTTTTTACCGCAACGGCGTGCCATAGCCTCTCTTTAGCCGCTTCCTTCGCCTCGTACTCACATAGAGTTGTTGGAATCTGTGTTAAAAAGTTGAAAAGTGGCGATAGGAAATTGCAAAGAGTTTTCAAAACATAGGGAACTGCAGTGATGTGAGTTTTCAGCTGAGATCAGAAATCAATTTTAAACAATAATATTTACTAAAAATTCTGATCGTTTATTGAACGTCATTAAGTTTCCTTGTATGAAAATACCTATCAACAAGTCATTGGATGGCCTTTAGGCCGATCGCTAAATTTGTCAGTCTGAATACATTATGATACGAAGTTTGATAGAATACGCAGTTGAAGTCGCGCAATTTTGATGGAAATGACAAAGATAGCTGTATACAGGAATTGGTAGCAGTTAAAATGTTCCAACGGTCAAGAAATTGGGTGGCAGAAACTGTGTGGAAGCCTAAAAGCACACACTCCCTTGAAAAGTTGAAGTAAGTTGTGATTCAGCTTTGTTATTTTACTTAAATTTCATAGGTTATAACTGTCATGTCTGTTAACCGTGAAGTGAATTTGTGCAGGGAATGGTATGGAAAGAATGAATGAATGAATGAATGAATTTGTTTGGAAAGTGGGAAAGTTTTTTGTGCACAGTAGGAATACATCCCCTTTGCAGACCAAACTGTACAGTCTTAACTATTTATAACGAATTCCATGCTTTTTCTTTGATTTCCTGTTCAGCCAATGAGGAAATTCTATTATGATATAAAAGAAGATCATACAAGCATTGACATGGCAGTGATTGGAAAATAAATGCAGTTTAAAGACTTAAATTTTGGTATGGTGCTTGGTTGTCATTTTAGGCCTCAACAAGGGTCCCCTGCGAAAAAACCATTGCTCAACCATGGCTGACAATGGTGACACCATGGTTACACCATGGTTTTCAACCATTTCCCACCATGGTTGAGCAACGAAATGACCATGGTTAACCATGGTAGAACCACGAATTTCCAATGGGACCCATTGCTCAACCATTGCTGAACCATGTCTAAAATTTCAAAATTTTTACTTTTTCATAAATTTGCTTGAGCAATATTGAAAGCTGAAATGTTCAGGATTATTTTAAACAATTTTGAAATTTTCAGTTCTTTTTATGATTTCAGTTTAAACCATGGTCAGACCATAGCCAATACATGGTTACCTGTTCATGGTTGAACCATGGCTTAACCATGCTCAACAAATGTGTTTCAACCATGTTTTTCCATGGTTAGACCATGTCATCTAATAATTTTACCAATTTAGGTCAAATCGGGGTTCAACCATATAAACATTTGAATTTTTGAAAATACAAATTTGAATTTTTACAGGAATTGCATAATGCTTGTAAACTTAGTTTGAAACATGGTTGAAACATGGTTGAAACATGGTTCAAACATGTCACTTGACCATGATCGAACCATGATTCAACCATGTTTCTTGGCCATGATCAAACCATGATTCAACCATATCTCTTGACCATGATCAAACCATGGTTCAAACATATCAACCAACCATGATCAAGCCGTTCACTTTTGCTTTTTTTCTTCTTTAAGATTCCTCTTGCTTCTGCACTTCATGAACTCCTGCTGTAAGCACTCTCAAAGAGAATCTCTCTTTGAGCTCATCAAGGTTGTGACATAGTAAATTTTAATGCAAAGCTTTGCTTTTCACAAGAAAGCTCACTTTGCTTGATATCATATTTTTATTTGTTGCTGATTAGAGCACTTCAAGGTTCCTGATCAATTTTTAAAAAAGGCATCTTATCTAGGATGAAAAGTGTGCGTAAAGTTTGGCAAAGTTCAGGCTTAACATGCAGTTCTTTAACTTGTTTTCATGAGACTGTATGCAAATTCTAGCCTCTCACAATCTGTAGAATGGGGCTTCCATGGGTGTGTGTGTGTGTGTGGGGGGGGG